GCAGCCTCGGGGTAGCAAGATAGTCGCCAGAAGTCCCGTGTTTTCTTCTCCAAGAATGTTACTGCAGTTGAGAGGAGTAACTTGAGTAATGCCCTCGATATCCATGCTACCTTGAATTTGGGACGTTATTTGGGAGTTCCAGTGATCCACGATAGGGTGTCCAAAGCAACCTACACAGAGCTTATTGATCAATTTGATGCTCGACTGGCAGGCTGGAAGGTCTCTCTCTCTCTCTCTCTCTCTCTCTCTCTCTGGAGGCTAAAATTACTTTGGCCCAGTCTGTTTTGTCATCATTGTCGGCTTATACTATGCAAACTTCATTTCTTCCAGCATCAGTTCGTGAGTACATCGACAAGAAAATTCGTGGATTTATTTGGGGGGATTTCCGTGCAGGAGCGGAAGGTCCACTTGACAGACTCGGATACTATTTGTCGACCGAAGGACGAGGGCGGTCTGGAATTACAAAATGCCACCCGCATGAATGATGCGTTCATGATCAAGATTGCTTGGTGCCTATTTACGGAGGAAGATAGTCTCTGGTCTAGAGTAATCAAAGGCAAATATCTTAAAGAGACAGCGACGGGGTGGCGAGCTAGAGATAAAGGGCGAATGTCGAACCTATGGCGAGGAGTACTGAGTGTCTTCAACTTGATTCGCGAAGCGACAATGTGGAATGTCCGAAGTGGTATGCAAGCTCGGTTTTGGGCAAATCGATGGCTTCAAGATGGTCCTCTCTTGGTCGCATTTGCACCTGATCTCCCTGATGCGGCGAATGAATTAACAGTTGCAGATCTTGTTCTTAACACGGAGTGGAACTTGGCATATGCTGGTGTCTTTTTTCCGGACGACTTGATCAGTCAGCTACTCCTTCATCCCGTCCTAGAGAAGGCCGATAAGGATGTGCCTATCTGACATTTTTTGGACTCGGGTTTATTCACCCTGAAAACAGCTTATGAACTTACTGAGGAAAGGGATGATGTGCGACAGACGCACCCTGTTTGGAAGGAGGCGTGGCGAATTCAGGGACCCCAAAGAACAAAGACTTTCTTTTGGCTAGTCTTGCATAATCATCTCCTGACGAATGCGGAAAGGAGGCGCCAGAATCTGACTCAGGTGGACACGTGCCCGGTTTGTGGAGAAGGGGCAGAAATGGTGGCTCATGTGATAAGAGAGTGCCCCTATGCGAGGGCAGCGTGGTCGCATCGTCTGGATGGCGAGCCGGATGAGGTTTTCTTTGAAGTGGATATTGTAAAATGGATCATGCACTATCTAGGAGGCAAGGGTAGAGTTATGGAGGCCTCCCTGTTCGCTATCATGTGCTGGATAATGTGGAGGAATAGGACGAATGGGTTTTTGAAATGGTCATAGCGCCGATAGAGCTTTTAGCGAAGAATGCGAACCTGTTGCGGCAGTAGACAGAGCTTGCATTTGACAGAGCTCAAAGCATCATTGGGGGAGGTCAGGAACGCGTTGTGAGCCTCATTAGCTGGAAAGGACCTCCTGAAGGCTTGGTTGCACTGAACATAGATGGATCTGTCATCTTAGCTTATGGGAGCTCGACGATGGGAGTATCCTCCGAGGGAGCAATAGACATTTTATTAAGGCCTTCACGGTTAAGCTAGGTGGCAGATCGATAACTCATGCTGGACTTCCACGAGAAGCCTCAATTGTTTATTCGAATCTGCCAGTGGAGTGTATCATGGCTCTATAGAGTGGCCCGTGAAGGCCTTCATGGCTAACTCCAACTCAGATGGCCCCTCTGGTTGTGGCAGGAATTCCTCTTGAAAAGGATATTGGTCTTGAGGTTCCCAAGGGTTTGGTCGTTCTCTGTAGTAGGGGGGTTGGTACTGACATTCGAATCCATAGTCTTCTCCTGCTTGATTGCTCCAGGAAGTCTCGGGGTAATACCACACAGATGGTGGTTGATACCCCCAATGGTTGGAGAAGCCTTGAGGATCCATGTTTCATATATGCACCAACAAAAACATAACACCAAAGTGAAAAGCAAGAGTGGAAAAGAAAAGAAAAAAGCTAAAGTAATAGACTTTCACGTGTTTACAATAACCTAGAGGTCCCCGGCAACGGCGCCAAAAACTTGACACGCTAAAACACAACACCAAACTGCGACCAAGTGCAATCGCAATCCGGAAATGCAGTAACAGGCAAGCTCTATTTGTCAACCCGGGGTCTAGATCTACTTCCTACTCCGTGAATATCGATTATCTAGCAAACTAAGTGGAGTGATTGTGATTTTTAACTAAAAGCAGTAAGAAAGCAGGAAATGGTTCGGTTTTCTAAAGCAAGGGAAGAGTCACTCGAGAATGAGTCCCCCTAGCTCCTTAGTAAGGTCTCAGTTGTAATTACCCTGGGTTGATTAAACTGCGAAAGATCCGACAGTAGCTTGGAATCTCTTAAGCTGAACAAGCCCTCTCAGCCCAACTACCCGGCAGACGACTAGTCTTCACCGGGATAGAAAGCTGAGGCTATGAACGCAAAACTCCACTACTGGAATTGGACTCCAGTACAAAGCAGTAAATTGATTAACTCTCGTAGAATCAATCTACCACTACCGATTGATGAAGCTCTAACAACCTAATCAGATTCTATCTATCTCAGGTTGCAGCATAAATCAAGAAAAGATGATCATACTTCAATTGACTCAATGAATCATGCATCAATCGATTAAAATCAAACAGTATAACAATCCCAAGTCATTACAATCAAGATCCCTAACACATGTAACTAGGGTTCTTCATACCCAAGTGAGAGAAAGTTCTACTCCATGGAGAGAGAGAGAGAGAGGAAAACAGTAACCAGAGTAGTCATACTCATAAAGATAAGGATAATATGCTCCGGGATGATGATCTTCACTCCTGGGGATGCAATCTGGCTTCAATGGTGAGAAATCCACTCCAAATAGCTCCTAGGGTTTGTTCTTTGCACTTTGTCTTTCTAAAATTCTGTTTTTGCTCCAAAAAGTCGATTCTCTCTCCTTTGGCTCGAATCTGCTTCAAAAACCCGATTCTGGGCAAAATACGGGCTGAATTACGGTCGTAAACATGGCCTGGCCGTATTTCACCCAAAACGGACGTTTCACTTAACACTGATGAGAGGAATTACAGTCGTAATTACCCAACTACTGCCAATATTTGTGGAATTACGACCGTAGTTCATTTTGCTCTTGCCCGTAATTTGATCTTCGAAGGAATTCTCAGGGATTTGCCTCGGCATTGCATTTACGGGCAGGGCAGAGGCAATTACGTCCGTAATTGGGCAGGGGATACTTGTATTTCTTCCTCCGCTCCTGTTTAATACTTCGTTTCTCCCTCGTCCAGACTCCGAATCAGTCACCGTTTGATCCCAGACGCTCGTAGTCTCGTCCTCTTTCTTTTACTGACAAACTTCCTTGATTATTTTTCCATAATATGAGGTAGAAGTCCATTATTCCTCAGGTCATGCTCATGTTTCTTCGAATTGCCAAATGAATTCCGATTGACTTGAAACTTGCGCCTTTGCTTCAATTTACATGCTAGGACCAGAAATGTGACAAAGGAACACAACCTAGAGTAAAATAGTCCAAGAAAGCAAAAAATCAAGCCAAAATGATAAAGAAACGAGGGTGCAAACATGTGCAAATACGACGTTATCAAATTCCCCCGCACTTAACCGTTTGCTTGTCCCTAAGCAAACCAAGTCAGATACAAGGTAAGCTAAAAACATCTTAATCATGAAACCCTTTGGTACATATCATATTGGCACAAAACACGTGAATCATACTGGCTTTTGATAATTAACACATGGACAACTTCAACAGCAACCTGGACAACCACCAGAGAAGATATTCGAGTGAAGCAAAATCGGGTAAAGGAAGAGTCTCCCTTCTGTTCACTAACCAACATAGACTCGACTCAACCACTTAGCCAAGACAGTCACTTCATGCACAAAACTCAAGATATCATAATTAAGACCGAGCAATCTAGGTCCTCACCGGAGTAAAGAGTATAGAGAATATGAGAAAATGAATCACTCACTCTCGACTAGTGGGGTCAGGACAATTTGATGCGAAAAATGCGCTTGCTTATTCTCTCAATCCCTAACGTCTCTTCACCATGAAGGCAGCCTCTAAATGTTAGAGTTCACATATTGGGTGTCACCACAAACTAATCCGGAGGTCTTAGACACAGGTTCAGATGACTGGCTAGGGTCTTGGAAATGGGGAAAAGGCCTTTTAGGTGGTGGAAGTATTCATAGCACAAGGTTCCACAGTTCCAAACCCAACACAATCACAAGCAATCAAACCAGTAACTTTCTTTCTGCTATTCTGCATTACTCAAATTACTTAGAGCTCAAGAGTGAAGGAGGTCACAATAATGTTAGTATTACCAAGCCAGACTGCTAAGAAACACTACTTAATGAGCATGATTCATATTTTTGGGTAGTGGCTCTCTTTTGCTTTCATTCTTTTTTTTTTCTCTCTTTTTTTTCATTTTTTTCATTTCTTGAGAGAACCACCACCTCTGCACATTTTCAAACACTTGCCAACTTTTGCCAACTTTTAAGCATTGCCTCCAACCCTCACATTATATTTAGCAGAAACAACAGAGAACATGCAAAAACCACTCTGTGGAACCTTCTAAGAGATGCACAAGGGTGATTTTCCATTATAGACCAAAAGAAAGGAAATTACACGGCTCAAAGGGGCTGACTAGGGGGTATGGCACACCAGGATAGTCAATTTGGTTGTGGGCTATTCCTATGCCCCCATCATCTTAGCTAATGACAACGTGAATGCTACACATCATGGAAGAGGGATCTATGACAGAAGAAAGAAACGAGCAGGCTCAAATCTCGCATGGCTACCTATATGCTCTATCTCCCATTCTGATTCCCTAAACTAGATGCATAAACGACTGTCAAGAGCAAGTGATCAATCCAAGTCACAATTGGTAAGCAAACAGTTGAAAAACTGAACTCCTACACAATTCTACTGCATGTCTCAGACATCATTATAGGTTGTATTAGTCACAATCCAGTGTCATGCATCAATTCGAAAGCCATTCGATTCACCAATTAAACCCACGGTGCCAATATGATCGTGCAAACATCAGTACTTGGAGCCCTCAAATCTCCAGATTTGGACGGCGGACTAGGCTCCAAGCACACAAACTCATCTAACAGTCAACAATAGATAACCCCCCCCCCCCCCACACACACACACTTAAGCACGACATTGCCCTCAATGGAGCATAGGGAAAGATAAGGGGAAACAATGTTACCGGAAATATGGACTGTCGGGGGACTGGAAATCGGACCAGTCAGCAGGACTAGAGTCATCAAAACACACTGGGTGATAGAAACCATAGTTCCAAGTGGACAAACCGAAAACAAACGAAAGGAAAACAAACCTTGGTGGGGTCGCCTCCCCACAAGCGCTTCTTTACCGTCATGAGCCGGACGTGGGCTCCTAAAAATCCGTCCATGCTAGAACCTCTTTGAAGTTGAGGTTCTCGTCGATGATGTGGAGTCTCAAGTCACAAGCAAGTGGTATGAAAAGTGATGTAGGCTCGTGTACTTGATTAATATGAAGTCTCCACCCTCGAGACCTCTTCTTTTCTTCCTCACTCGTCTCATTGCCCCAAACCAGATATGACAGCATGGACTGACCACCATCACGTCCACCAAGAGGGACCGGTGTTGATGTGGCCTTGGTCTGGCAAAGAGACACTGCAAATGGGTCCTTGCCAAGCAGCTCCTCGAAGTTTGGTGGAGATCACATGAAACTCATGGCCGGTGCAAGCCTTTTCCACCTCAACTTCATCCTCATCCTGGACACCACTCGCTTCTTCAACCCCCCTTCCTTCTTCAAAATGTGGTCTCTCTCCTTGGAAAAGATCAAGAGCTACCTTTTCTTTGCTTTCTTCCTCATCCTCCACAACTTCTTTCGTCACCCTTGCTCTCTCTTCTTCTTCCCGAACAGATTGGAGAGCAAGTCGCCAAGAAATTTCTTCAATGGTATCATCTTGCATCTCCTCGCACGGGACCATCATGTTAGAGCAGAAATGAGAAAAGGTGTGATCTGCCACCAGAGGACTTTCCCGATCATGATTATCATGAGAGTTCTCTGTGATAACTTTTGTATGCTCCTCAACGTCCCTGTAGCCTTCGTCATCCTCCACCTCTTCTAGTGTGGTAGCAGAAAGGTGATCTTGAGCAGGATGTGCGCAATCTTGCTCCACCCACTCTGGTTGCTTCGCTGAGCACTGAACAACCTCCTCCATTTCATGGATAAATGAGGGATCGGAAGGGGAAAGGGCTTGGATTTGAAGATACATCTTGGAGCATGATCTCTCAGTGTCTAGAGAAAACTGCTCCACGAGAAGCCTCAGTTGTTTATTCGGATCTGCCAGTGGAGTGTAGCATGGCTCTACAGAGTGGCGCCCGTTAAGGCCTCCATGGCTAACTCCAACTCAGATGGCCCCTCTGGTTGTGGCAGGAATTCTTCTTGAAAAGGATATTGTTCTTGAGGTTCCCAAGGGTTTGGTCGTTCTCTGTAGTAGGGGGGGTTGGTACTGACATCCGAATCCATAGTCTTCTCCTCCTTGATTGCTCTAGGAAGTCTCGGTGTAATACCACACAGATGGTGGTTGATACCCCCAATGGATCTGCACCAACAAAAACATAACACCCAAGTGAAAAGCAAGAGTGGAAAAGAAAAGAAAAACACAGAAGTAATAGACTTTCACGTTTCTACAATAACCTAAAGTTCCCCGGCAACGGCGCCAAAAACTTGATACTCTAAAACACAACACCAAACTGCGACCAAGTGCAATCGCAGTCTGGAAATGAAGTAACAGGCAAGCTCTATTTGTCAACCCGAGGTCTAGATCTACTGCCTACTCCGTGAATATCTATTATCTAGCAAACTAAGTTGATTGATTGTGATTTTTAACTAAAAGCAGTAAGAAAGCAAGAAATGGTTCAGTTTTCTAAAGCAAGGGAAGAGTCACTCGGGAATGAGTCCCCCTAGCTCCTTAGTTAGGTCTCAGTTGTAATAAACCCGGGTTGATTAACTGTTGATTAAACTGCGGAAGATCCGATAGTAGCTTGGAATCTCTTAAGCTGACCAAGCCCTCTCAGTCCAACTACCCGGCAGACGACTAGTCTTCACAAGGATAGAAAGCTGAGGCTATGAACACAGAACTCCACTACTGGAATTGGATTCCATTTCAAAGCAGTAAATCGATCAACTCTCGTATAATCAATCTACCACTACCGATTGATGAAGCTCTAACAACCTAATCAGATTCTATCTATCTCAGGTTGCAGCAGAAATCAAGAAAAGATGATCAGACTTCAATTGACTCAATGAATCATAGATCAATCGATTAAAATCAAACAGTATAACAATCCCAAGTCATTACAATCAAGATCCCTAACACATGGAACTGGGGTTCTTCATACCCAAGTGAGAGAAAGTTCTACTCCATAGAGAGAGAGAGAGAGAGGAAAACTGTAATCAGAGTAGTCATACTCATAAAGATGAGGATAATCTGCTCCGGGATGATGATCTTCACTCCTAGGGATGCAATCTGGCTTCAATGGTGAGAAATCCACTCCAAATAGCTCCTAGGGTTTGTTCTTCGCACTTTCTCTCTCTAAAACTCTGTTTTGCTCCAAAAAGTCGATTCTCTCACCTTTGGCTCGAATCTGCCTCAAAAACCCGATTCTGGGCAAAATATGGTCTGAATTACGGTCGTAAAATGGTCTGCCCGTATTTCACCCAAAACGCGCGTTTCACTTAACACTGATGAGATGAATTACAATTGTAATTACCCAATTACTGCCGGTATTTGTGGAATTACGACCGTAGTTCATTTTGCTCTTGCCCGTAATTTGATCTTCGAAGGCATTTTCAAGGATTTGGCTCGGCATTGCATTTACGGCCACGGCAGAGACAATTACGCCCTTAATTGGGCAGGGGATGCCCGTATTTCTTCCTCTGCTCCTGCTGGACTCCGAATCAGTCGCCGTTTGATCCCAGAAGCTCGTAGTCTTGTCCTATCTCTTTTCCTGACAAACTTCCATGAATATTTGTCCATAATATGAGGTAGAAGTTCATTATTCCTGTTGATGTGACTTGAATCGGACTATCAGCCGCTACGACTGGTAATCGGGGGTCTCGCTGTTTCTTCTCCCGAATTGCCAAATGAATTCCGATTGACTTGAAACTTGCGCCTTTGCTTCAATTTACATGCTAGGACCTGAAATGTGATAAAGGAACACAACCTAGCGTAAAATAGTCCAAGAAAGCAAAAACTCAAGCCAAAATGATCAAGAAACGAGGGTGCAAACATGTGCAAATACGACGTTATCAACTTCGTATTGCGTGGGAGGCAGGGCACCGGCGAGTCAGTTTACAGACGGACTCTGCAACAGCTGTTTCATTGTTACAGTCCGATAGAGCGAGTAACCCTCATTACACTATGATCTCCTCTATTCGCAGATTGCTGGCACAGAATTGGGAGGTCGTTGTGAAGCACGTTTTTCAGGAAAGTAATCATGTGGCTGATTATCTAGCCTGTGTTGGGCACTCTCTATCTCTGGGGGTTCATGTGATTGAGAACCCGGGTTCGGGATTGAGTTAATGGTTTTTGTTTGATAGTATTAGGGTACAAACTCCTCGTTTCATTTATAGATAAGGGTTAGAGCGCCCCTCTACTCTCTATTTTTCACCCAAAAAAAAAGATAATGGTTTATGTTGGGGGGCATAAGGACTTTAACACGTGATCTCAATGATAAAACAGTTCTAATACAATTTCATAAACCAACTGATCCCAAGAACTCGATTTATTGGGACTAGTTCGTTTATGACATAGTATCTAAGCTGGTTTGATCAAGTGGCCTTGTGTTCGAATCTCCACGACCCACAATATTAACAGTTGATTAAAGCAAAAGGTATGATGATCGATTGTGAAAACTTAAAGCCCATGGGTTGGCTTTTATTTGAGTTGACAAGTGAGAGAGTGACATAAGATTCTCTTTTGACCTTTAAATGGGCTTGGCCTTTTTTCTATTTGTTAACTTTTTTCTTTAATAATAAATGATCTATCATCATGAAAAGCATTTCTTATTTTCTTATAAAAATGAATTATTTTAATGGATGTTTTCCTCAAAAGTGTGAGATTAGAAGAAAGATAGATGATATTATTTAAAATAATACGAGACGGTTGTTACTTGTTAAACAACGATAAATGATATTATTTTTTTGTAATAAATTTTCTGAACTTAAGTATTTTTTACTATTATTTAATAAATTTTATTTTTAATAAATCTTCAGAAAAAATATTTAGGGCCACATTTTAATTTTCGAACAGGGCCTCCAAATATCATGGACCAGCCCTGACTCACATGATTCCAAGCTTTGTGAAGCTGATCGCTTACGGGCGGTGGCTGAACAGAACATTCGATCAACGACAAATTGTTCCTAGAGTGAAGTGCCATGCGCATGGATCTTGTCTAGGAACGATAGTTGGCCCCAGTGAGTGGAATCATCACCAGCTAGGGATTGACGCTGTTTCCATTAGTGAACGGCTATTTGCCGCCAACCAAAAAAAAAAAAAATTCAAATTCAAATTTTGAATTTTCCCTCCCTTCCTTTCATTCTATAAATTCAGATATCAAGAACATTTGACTCATTCCAACAAAAACTTCTGTTGACAAGCCCAGTGCCTCCGTTGCCGGCAACGTTCTTCCGTCGTCGGCTAACCTACCGTCGCCCTCAATCGTCGGAAAACAAGTAAGTTTTCCAGTTTTCCGGTCAGTTTTCCAGTTTTCCGGCGCGTTTTCCAGTTTTCTGGCGAAAAACACGGTGGGCAGAAAAAAATTTGCGGCCGGAGAGACGTCGGGCCGAAAAAAATTTGCGGCCGGTACGTCGCCGGGCCGAAATAAATTTTCGGCAAATTTTTTTCGGCCGGTCCCCGAACACGCCGCCCAAAAATTTACCGGCGACATGTTCGTCGGCCGGCCGAAAAAATTTTGCAGCCGGAACGTCGCCGGGCCGAAAGAATTTTTCGGCAGGACGGCGCACCGGCCGCAAATTTTTTTCGGCCCGACGTCGCTCCGGCCGCAAAATTTTTTCGGCCCGACGTCTCTCCGGCCGCAAATTTTTTTCGGCCCGGCCAGTTTTTGTATTTAATTTAATTTAATTTAATATGATAATTAATTAGCAATTAGTGTTAATATTTATTTAAGTTGGTGTATAAATGTTTTTTTGTAATAGGCGTTTGAAAGTTTAATTACTTAGATTAGTTAATAGAATTTTAATTAATTAAGAATTGATTTAATAGTTAATGTTATTATTTAGTACATTAGTTAATAGAAAATTAATTAATTTCTGATGAATTAACAATTAATGTTAATAGTACATTAGTTAATAGAAATTTAATTAATTTGTGATTAATTAACAATTAATGTTAATAGTACATTAGTTAATAAAAAATTAATTAATTAGTGCGCATCTAATTGTGATATTGTTTAAATTTGTAGATAATTAGATATGGATGATGCGGGTGGGAATGAGTTGAATAGATTCAATGGTAGGGTTGTTGATGTATCAGCACGAAGGAAGAATAAGGAGAAGAATAAGCGCTCTCGAGATATTGGACATCAGTCACAGGCAAATTTAGGGGAGGATGAGTTAGAGGCTCCTACTGTAGTTGCTCGTTCGGCATCACGGGCGTCTGGTTCCCATGGGAGGAACCAGGGTGCTGCATCGAGAGTGGTCTCGGCTGATTTTGATGAGGACGATAATGATGAGGATATCGAGGTCCCACCACCTACGCGTGGACATGGACGAGGGCCGTCTTGTATGGCAACATCACGTCCTGCAATGTATAGGGACCGAGCTGGGCGATTCGTACCACCTGCTCGTCAGGAGACAGAGAGCTCGGGGACTGGACGGAGTAGGGGAGGAGGACGTTCGAGTGGTCCTCCATCGTGGGAGCTTGTTGGTGAGTGTCCTGGTGGACCTACGGATCCTAGCCTCATTAGGAGCTTTCGTGGCCACGTTGCCTATGCGCTTTGGACGGGGGCTGGAGATCGAGGGGTCATCAGTTGCTACAGCCGTACATCGGCGGTTTCTTATCTGAGTAGCTACGTGTTTAGTCATGTTGAGGCGGAGGATCTGGTGGCGCAGTCAGGTCTCCAGCACCTGATCTACTCTATGTTCCGCAAGATAGCGATTGACGAGGCTTTGATCTCAGCTTTTGTGGAGAGGTGGCAGCCAGAAACGAACACCTTCCACTTGCCTTTTGGAGAGATGACGATCCTCCTCCACGATGTTCAGTACTTACTGCAGATTCCTGTTGAGGGATGACTGATGAGTAGGAGTTCTGCGCAGCTTGACCATCCGGAGGCGGGTTTGTGTGCGCTTCTTGGGATGAACTCGGAGCAGTTGAGTGGTCGTTCGGAGGTCCCTGGATATAATAATAGGGGTAAGTGGTACGAGAAGGGTGGTTTTCTTGCAGAGATGGCGTCCAGATACTTGCAGAGCCACGGGACACATGTGACAGAGGCGTAGTCGTACTTGTTGTTGCTGTTGGGGTCCACTTTGTTTGTGGACAAGAGTAGAGACAGGGTTCGGTCGGTGGTGAACCTATTTTTGGACGAGTTGGAGGAGTTAGATCAGTATAGTTGGGCGTCAGGTACACTTGCTTGGTTGTACAGATACCTTGGTCAGGCGTCTCGTGCTGGTGCCAGGGGGATGGCTGGTTGTCTCACACTTCTGCAGTGCTGGATCTAGGAGTACTTTCCGGGTTTCAGGCCATCTCACTTCGAGCCTGCCGCTGTTGGAACTGATGATGCTTGGGCTTCACGATGGGTTGGCCAGCCGACACCTGGTTCTGTGGCTGATTCCAGTGGGAGGTTGGCATTCTACCGTCGAGCTCTTGACAGCTTGACCCCTTCTGATGTGTTTTGGACACTTTTCCATCAAAGGCCTCATCAGGCAGTGCGTCGCTCTTTGTACACTGGAGTCATCCGGTTCGCTAACATAGGCGAGTTCTATGATCCAGCCCGTTGCCGCCGACAGTTTGGATACCGACAGATGGTACCGCCTGCCCCTTCGCGTCCTCAGCGAGCAGACCGACGAGAGGCACCTGGTGGATATGTCATTCGGATTCCTGAGAGTTTTGATGCTGCATGGGATGCTCTGCTATCCCATATGGTTCATATAGACATGTACTCTCAGCCGTGGACGACGTATCCATATGAGACTACGAGAGACTATCTTGACTGGTTCGTGGTGCACTCTCATTGTAGAGTCCTACGGGATGATGGAGAGGCAGATCGACTAGTTGACTCCACAGCGGTAAGATTTGACCACTAAATCGTTACTCTATTATAAATATACTTAGCATGAAACTAAAAATTGTTCTTGTTTTTTTTTTCATGCAGCGTGGTCGCGACCTTTTGTACACGTTTGCACCTGCAGTTCGAGCAGCAGAAGGGACCGAGGAGGAGTTTGTTGAGCATTCTCGACGAGCCTACAGGGCACTGCACGGAGTGCAGGACGTGTGGACTGAGTACTGGGCTTCTCAGGGACTCCCCCCTCCAGGGGATTTTTAGTTGTTTTGATGTTTCCATATTTGTGTTTAGATCGGATGTATGACTACTTATGTATGTTTGGATCGGATGTTTATGTTCAGACTGCATGTTTCCATATGTGTGTTTAGATCGGATGTTTGACTACTTATGTATGTTTGGATCGGATGTTTATGTTCAGACTGCATGTTTCCATATTTGTGTTTAGATCGGATGTTTGACTACTTATGTATGTTTGGATCGGATGGTTATGTTTAGACTGCATGTTTCTGACAAGCTAAAACACAACACCTAACAATGAAAAAAGTGCAACCACACGGCCAGGGTGCAACACCACACGGCCGTGTAGCTCAGGTTCCTGGCCGTGTGAAGCCTCGCACATTTCCACACGGCCAGAGTGCAACTTCACACGGCCGTGTAGCTCACCCAGCCTGGCCGTGTGAAGCCTCGCACATTTCCATACGGCCAGAGTGCAACTTCACACGGCCGTGTAGCTCACCCAGCCTGGCCGTGTGAAGTCTCGCACATTTCCACACGGCCAGAGTGCAACTTCACACGGCCGTGTAGCTCACCCAGCCTGGCCGTGTGAGTTGTGTGTGTGACCGTGTGGCTTTCTTTTTGACTTGCCTCGTGCCCGATCTTCGTCCAATCGACCCCGAACTCGCTCGAAATCCATAATGAAATCCATAAGTTCATAATGACACTAGGGTCATTAAAAATACAACTAGAAAACCAACAACATATAAATAGAGTATTGCAACACTATGCATTGCTCCTACCCCTACCCCTTCCCCTAGCTCTTCGGGGGTCTCTCTGCCTGGCTCGCTGCCGACCACCAAGGCTCGCAAACAAATTTTGTCCAACCTCGAGAATAGCTCCCCACTCTGCCACATTAGGATTTGCTAGCCCATGCCAAAGTGGATGCAGAGGGGGTATAGGAAACTGATCCTGGTTGAAGTACAATCGAATGTAGTGGTTGTTCACATAGTGCAGTGATAAGAACATGGTTGGTGGCAAAGTACCTGGTTCCGCATCAATAGGCAATACAGTATAGGCATCATCGTAGC